AAGAAACAAAACACTATCAACTGAAACCAAAGTCACAATCATCCGAAGAGAACCAGACATCAACAAAAGAGAAATACTAGAATCACTACTGATACAGTCAAGATTAACCCTAAATCAACATTAAAGAACCCCCTTTATTTATATTAATGTGTTATTCACCTCATTTTACTAAAAAGCTAATTTAACACCACCTACGATTACATAAGGAGAGAAACTAAAGTTTTCACCCTCGCTTCTCTTTGACTATTTGCAGCAAACTTACGAAACTAGAGAAAACAAAACTCGACAGGTGAAAAAGTTTGGAGACAGCTTAAACTGGTAACGAAGACATTTTATTTTAAATTTAACATAATAAGAAATATTAACGCCTCATAAGTTTTATCATCAAGTATTTGTTATTAAAATATGAGAAGTGATATAAACCTTGTTCAGCGGCAAGTCTGAAGGATTATAACGCTAAAACTCGAGTCTGTAACGCTCTCTGGAATTCAACTATATTTTTTCTATGTAACTCTTATCTGATATAATGACTGAATACTATAGATCAAAACGTTGTAATCAATAAAATCAAAACTTACCTACTGCTTAAACTGTCGTTATTGTATTTTTTTAATTAATTATTCAGTTCATTCACTAAACATAAACTTTATTTTGTTATTTAATAGACTGTTAACCTTTACTCAGTTTGATTTTACAAAAACATTTTTTGATACTTCATTCATCAGGAATATTTTTATTATGTATACTAGCTAAGGGTAATCGACAAGGAAGTGAAAATTATATAAAGGACAATGTTACATAACGTTTCTCACCCTTCTTTCTTTTGTTATTAAATCCCTAAGGATTTATTAGATGCTAATTGCTATACCCTGTTTTATGTAAGGTAACTATTCACTCAGCTATCTGATTAAGTACTTGTGCCTTCAAATTATAATCCAAAAGTCTAAAAAAAAAAGTGGAAATTTGTTTTATTTCAGGGGATTTTATCTCTCTTATCGGGCAAAAATTCTAAAAGAAGACAGCCCATGCACGACATCAATCAGTTTCCAGTTAGCATACCAAGAATTGCAGTAGCGGAGTGAGCCAACTCTAGATAATGGATGTTAAAACACATAATGGATCATCTATATAGTAAGTTTCATCAGTCACGTGTTCCCTCCTGCCAGAGCATGCGCAATAACAATCAAATGTTGCACAACTTTGAAAGCGAAGAAATCCACACATACTGGCCAGAAATGAGTAAATTAACCAACGTCTGTATACCATGAATAAAAGGTTGCTGTATCCTTTCGTTTTCTAACTACTTTGTTTCATGCTGTAATATCGTTGATTCAGTGCAACCACATTTGCACCCATGGTTATTTACATCAGACCATTACCTCTCTAGTCCTCTTCTGGAAAACTAGGAGGTATTTGTGAAGTTACGAAACATTTTTTGCCCAGAAATTCACCTCTCCAGTGAACCTGGGCTACTATTATCCTTCATCAGTATCCTTGTACAGCCATTTCTTCAGTGAGTCTGGACTACTACCATCCTTCATCAGTATCCTTGTACAGCCATTTCTTCAGTGAATCTGAAGGTGTGACGAATACATTAGACTAACGCCACTTGTGTATGTTGTCGATAAACACCACAACACCAACATTTCCATGTAAACAATAATATTATTCTCAGAATGTTAAAAAACACGCTCAAATATAGTTATTGTACACATGAAAACGTTATTTGTTTAGCAGATATCGTTTACATTTGAAACAATATGAAAGTTTTTCTCTTCACATTTTGAATCTGTCACCAGATGTCGTTAAAACCTTGCATCAAACTCTGGACTGCTTTCCAGAATACAATGGAAACAAAGTCGTCGCGGGTTCGAATCCCCGTCCCACAAAACATGCTCGCCCCTTTCAGCGAGGATTATCTGCGCTAGCCGTCCCTAATTTAGTAGTGAAAGACTTGAGGGAAGACAGCTAGTCATCACCACCCACCGCCAACTCGTGAGCTACTCTTTTACCAACGAATAGTGAGACTGACCTTCACATTAAAACGCCCCCACGGCTGAAATGGCGAGCATGTTTGGTGGGACGTTGGGATTCGAACCCGCAGATTGTTGAAAACCCAACAAGTTTACGATTTTTATAATTACCAAAGCTTATGCTAGAATAACAATAAGATGGACCTTAAATATTGCTTTTAATTGTTAAAAAATATGTTTCTAATTATAAAACTGGATTATTTATATTTGAAACGTAACGTGTTTATTGTACTTCATATTTACACTGTAGTTTACATATGTATAGATGTTCAATATACTATGCTGTGAAATAATATTAAATTTTGTCAGTTGCGAGTGTTGGAGCGTTTTTTAATTCATGACACTAGACGACCCTACTTATGATACTTCACAATGTGACACTAGACGACCCTACTTATGATACTTCACAATGTGACGCTAGACGACCCTACTTATACTTCACAATGTGACACTAGACGACCCTACTTATACTTCACAATGTGACGCTAGACGACCCTACTTATACTTCACAATGTGACACTAGACGACCCTTCTTATGATACTTCACAATGTGACGCTAGACGACCCTACTTATGATACTTCACAATGTGACGCTAGACGACCCTACTTATGATATTGCACAATGTGACGTTAGACGACCCTACTTATGATATTGCACAATGTGACGTTAGACGACCCTACTTATGATATTGCACAATGTGACGTTAGACGACCCTACTTATGATATTGCACAATGTGACGTTAGACGACCCTACTTATGATATTGCACAATGTGACGTTAGACGACCCTACTTATGATATTGCACAATGTGACGTTAGACGACCCTACTTATGATATTGCACACTGTGACGTTAGACGACCCTACTTATGATATTGCACACTGTGACGTTAGACGACCCTACTTATGATATTGCACACTGTGACGTTAGACGACCCTACTTATGATATTGCACAATGTGACGTTAGACGACCCTACTTATGATACTTCACAATGTGACGTTAGACGACCCTACTTATGATACTTCACAATGTGACGCTAGACGACCCTACTTATACTTCACAATTTGACGCTAGACGACCCTACTTATGATATTGCACAATGTGACGGATCCCATTGAAATATCCTCACAGAGTGAGGGTAAAAATATTGCACCTATTTTCGCATTCCCTAATTTTGAGTTGGTACACTAGAGGGCAAGCATCTAGTCATTAAAACCCACCGCCGACTCTTATGCAACTCCTGTTTGACCGAATATGTCCGACATTCGTATAACGCAACAACGGTCCCAAAGTGCGGAAGATGACTTTTTCGGCAATGAATCATCAAATTCACAGTCTAGTTATACTAATTAGTAGGCCACATCCAAATCTCACTATTGATTAGAGTAGATGATGAGTTGACAATTGATGCTTTAATTTATCAGCTCAAAATTAGGGACGGATAGCACAGATAGTGTCCTCGTGTAAGCTTTTTTGTTTTTAATTTCGCGCAAAGCTACACGAGGGCTATCTGCGCTAGCCGTCCCTAATTTAGCAGTGTAAAACTAGAGGGAATACAGCTAGTCATCACCCAACTCTTGGGCAACTCTTTTACCAACGAATAGTGGGATTGACCGTCACATTATAACGCCCCCACGGCTGAAAGGGCGAGCATGTTTGGTGCGAGACGGATTCGAACCCGCAACCCTCAGATTGCGAGTCAAGTGCCCTAACCACCTGGCCATGCCGGGCCACCGTGTAAGCTAAGTGAATATACAAAACAAACGTCAATTCTTGCTTGATACTGTTAAACGCCAAGTACCTGAATAAACATAAACTAATTACAATACGTTGTGCATTACTTACTTATGATGACTAGTGTATTACAGTGCGTAACGACAAATTGAACCAAGCAACTTTCTAAAGAACTGAAGCCCCTTATTGCTACAGTAAAACCTGTATCCAAAGGTACGGACCTCGTTCAATTAATGTGGACCTTCTTCTGTTTGTTGTGGTAGTAAATGTTAATGTATAAGGATGTTAGAAAATAAAAAGGAATGAAAAAATACTTTAAATATTTGATTATATATTAATCTATGCTTAAATATAGTTGATTTAGTGGTAATTTAGGCCACATCCAAATCCCACTTAGTTGAGTGTATGGGAATATTAGAAAATAACGAGGATTGAGAAGTACTTAAGATAATTGACTAAACGTGACTTAGGCTTACCTACAGTTGACTAAACGTGACTTAGGCTTACCTACAGTTGACTAAACGTGACTTAGGCTTACCTACAGTTGACTAAACGTGACTTAGGCTTACCTACAGTTGACTAAACGTGACTTAGGCTTACCTACAGTTGACTAAACGTGACTTAGGCTTACCTACAGTTGACTAAACGTGACTTAAGCTTACCTACAGTTGACTAAACGTGACTTAAGCTTACCTACAGTTGACTAAACGTGACTTAAGCTTACCTACAGTTGACTAAACGTGACTTAAGCTTACCTACAGTTGACTAAACGTGACTTAAGCTTACCTACAGTTGACTAAACGTGACTTAAGCTTACCTACAGTTGATTAACATGTAATTTAGACCATTTATTTACACGTGTTTAGTGTATGGGAATGTTAGAAAATAAAGAGGAGTGAAAAGTACTTAAGAACAATTTAGGCTTAACCATAGTTGATGATTAAGGCCGTTTACTAATACATGTTGAGGTCAGTTGGTAGCATGTACAAGAGGCTATGATTCTGTGACTAGATTAAATGGTTTAACCTTACAGCTTATGTCTTCAGGACAACGAGTCCTGATAAACAACAGAATAAGTCCATATCCAGTAAGTTTCTTTGACGAATGAAGGAGCATTTTGGAGAAGTTTGATTTTCATTGATTTTTGTTTTATAAAAAGATTACAACACTGTGTGCAGCTCGGTATAAAAATAGATACTGATTACAAAAAAAAAGCGAGCAATATGACTTACTCTTGCTGCTAGAGACGAAGTTGGTTTTTCAAGAAGGTCCCACAAAAATTTCTGATACTGAGCACAACGTCCCTCTCCAAAGTCTTCCTCTTCCCCTTTCCTAAGTGACTCTGCCTCCTTGCGCATTTCCTCGTGCACGTGTTCTTTACGCTGGTGATATTTCTGCTGACAGCAGGACTCCAGGTACAGTTCATCAATTCCCCAGTATTCCAAATCGTCGCTGAAAGCCAGTACGCACATTTCCTCTACCAGATGGAGCTTTCCTGTGCGATAGAAGTTAAGCACTGAGCTGAAAGATCGCGGATGCCTGTCAAAAAAATATTCGTTGTCCACCAGACTGTAGTCGTCGCAAAGCTCCATGATAGCCTCGTGCGCGTTACACTCTATCAAACGACCAAGTCGAGTGTGTGGAAGCCTTTCAAGAGTGCGCCACAGCACCTCGTGCTTCACCCCTCCCACGTTGATGGTAACCCTTCGATTTAAGGCCTTACTACGCATAATCATGAAAGGTTCGGGGGGTAGAGACGACATGGATCTGGAGTGTGCTCTGTGCATGTTACACTGAGTAGGCATAGCTCCTCCTATATGCATGGCCTCATTAGGAACGCTCTGAAAAGGTGGCGGAGGCAAAGAGTATCCATCTTGAAAGAGCGGTGTCTGTTGAATTAGGTGTGTTGGGGAAGCGGCACTGTGCGATGGTGGAGCAGGTGGTGTCCCCGTACCTAGTTTGTCCGTCTTTTCCAAGCCTGTCATACCTACGGCTTCGAAAGGCGCCACCGTGTAAGCGAGACTTTGTGGCGAAATAGCTGGAGAGTCGGGTGTGCCCAAACGCTTCAGGGTGAATCTGGAACTACACTCAATAGAGGGCGTAACATGAAGTCTTTATTTAAGTTACTATGAAACTACACATTCTACATCTTTTTATACCTTGTCCACTAGGTGGCCATTGAGGGTTACCAATAAAACTATTCATTGATGAATCAATCAAGGAGTAATCACACAATCGGCACAGCAAGAAGCTATTCATTAAGCGCCACCTGATAGTTAATCCATCAACTAGACTCACTCACGACTCTACGATGCCTGAAAGTAGAGAAATAAAGTTCAGTGTCAAAATCTTGAATTGTAAAAATAAAACTAAAAAAAACATATTATTGAAAGGCTTTTTATAAAATGCAGATTGACAACCATTTGTCATTGAAAAGTACTTCAGCTTAGAAAACAATTAAAACTTGCTTTTAATTACTCACATAGAAAAACCTTTTCACTTCATCCTATTGTAACACGTACCACATTTCATCTTTTGATCAGAGTAGATCCACCAGGTGGAAACCGGAGTTCAAATAGCAACAATTATAAGATCATTCAATTAAAAGTTTCGGAATCTACGTGAACTGTAAAATACATGAAAATGAGACATAGAGAGAAGAACAATGTTTCACGTAATTAGAAGCATACTAAGTAGATCAGAAATTAAAATAAATATAACAAGCAGTGAAATATAACTATATATACAAGGACATCTACTCTGACAAAACCTTAAAAATATATATCTGAATATAAAAGCACTTTTACTGGAACTGGTCAGAAACTTTAAAATCCTTGTGCTCCTCCTATCTTTTACCAAATCGAAAATACCAGCCGCCGCTTTTGCTGATAATTTAAAAATTATTAATCTTAGGTTCATTCAACAATGAATTACCGAATGAACCCAAACCTAAATAATAACCTTAGTGTTAGGCTTACTGTAGTTTCAAACACTACATTCTTTAGTAGCTACCTTTGGTGTAGAAAGGTATAATAGTATTTCAACCATACTATATCTGCTATACATGCTTAAAATTTCACATTTATGGCAAAGCCAATAAAGCTATCTGTCGCCGTCCCTAATTTTGAACTACCGACCAAAGGGAAGAGAGTCATTCAGTAGCACCATACTGCCTAAACTAAAAGATTGACTGTCACTTTTATAACATTCACATCTTAAAGTGCGGGGAATATTTCGAGCTATCACACAAATTCAAACCTGCTCGCCAATTCCGATATCCCGAGCCTCACCAGAGGGTAAACCCACACCCTCCAAAATAAATGAAATAATCTTAATCTACGGTGGCATCATTTGAATAATAAAGATAGCCAATGACAGCTGCTAAAACCCTCGACGACTGAAATATAGCAATCTATAGTAGTTAATTATCCCTCGTATCATATCGTGATTATTTCTTAGACTAACCAAAAATTACGAGTTATTTGTTTTGAGCTGCGTAACAGAATACGAATAACAATTATAGTGACTTTAACGGTGTGTGGTGATCTTTTAATTAAGATCTGATACTAATTATCCGTGGACAACTATTACAGCGTCATCGAAAAATTCAAATAGTCATTACATGATCAGAAAGGAGTGGCTAAGAAAGGAGCACGTGGTACTTGATGAGAAAGGGACACGTGGGTTTCAACTTTTAAAAAGAACTGAAACAAAGGAACAAGAAGAAGCGTTAAAATTGCTATCTTAATGTTATTCAATGGAAGAGTTAGTGTTATGCTAGGTTTGTAGACGTAGTTATCAATGAAAGTGCCTTGCTTTTCTGTTGTAACACTCATAAGATTTTTACTAAAGAAAAACAAATATTTTTAAGTTTGTTTTTTGATTTTTTGATAATTGAAACTTACTCCTTTTTCTTTGTAATTTTTATTGGGTAAGTCTGAAACTTACTCTTTTTATTTGTTCAAAACTAGAAAACACTGCTAAAGACACTGTTCAAAACTAGGAAACACTGCTAAAGACACTGTTCAAAACTAGGAAACACTGCTAAAGACACTGTTCAAAACTAGGAAACACTGCTAAAGACACTGTTCAAAACTAGGAAACACTGCTAAAGACACTGTTCAAAACTAGAAAAC